AGAGGGGATTTGTTTCTCCTTCCCCCAATTCTGACTAGAAATGTCTGAAATGTGTAAAGGAGAGAGGTGACCAACGCTGGCCGCACCCCCCCCCCCCCCCCCCCCCCCCTTTTCCTATGTTCCGACGCCACTGCGGTAACTAATGGCGAATGCGGGTGGTCAATCGTCGGCAGGTTATTTTGCCGGAAAACCGGCAATAGTGTTCGCGTGGTCAGTTTCCAGCCGGCGCGCACTGTTCAGGTGGTGGATCCTCTGCAAGCACCTGCGACTTTCCTGCGCTTTTTCGGCCCGAGCTCCAAAGGGCCGGGCGAGTAGGCGCCAGACTGTATCCGGTGTCGTCACTTCCGAAATGGGAGAGAAGGTCAGTGAGAAAAGATGAACGAAAGAGCGAAACTGATCTGAAGTAACTTCAGCGGTCACTACTCGAGTCAATCCAAGCCGTTGGTACACATGGGTGCAAGGAGCTATAAGTGCTAGGAGGGTGCACGTTGCAATATTGGTGAAGCCTAGTCATAAAACGTTTAAACGATATTGTGCCCAACGTGACCGCAGATCTCACTGGCGATTGGTGCGCGTGACATGTCACGTGCGAGATGGATGGTTGATTGTAGAATGATTCCTTGCAGGCTTGCGCGCGCTCCGTCCGGTAGGTTTTATCAGATCAAAGGCTAGACGAAGGCTAGCTACGGTCACGTGATGTGGTCATGTTGGGCTGGTAAGTGAGGAGAGTAAGGAGGAAAATGAGAAAGAGACGAGGCGAGGGAGCATGGCTTGTGGAGCATACATGGGTAAATTACTTCCAAAATGTAATTTAATTACAATTACAGTTACTTTGCTTCAAAAGTAGTTTAGCTACAGTTACAATTACTACTACGTGAAAAGTAATAAATTACAATCGCAAATTACTTTTCAAAAGTAATGCAATTACTTTACAATTACTTATTTCTGAGAGCAACCCGACTTGGGCCATTTAACTTTAAACGAGTTGTATAGAATGCAACGTATTTGTTTATTCCTTACTCCATTGTTCACGTATTGTACTTTCTTTTTATGAATTTTGTGAAATTCATGATATAACTTGACAGTATGGGGCCCTGAAGTACTATGTTCTTATATTTTAATTAATAATAATAAATTAGTTTATACGCTGGAGGATGCTAGATCGCTAAAGAAAAAACTGGGTTGACAGACTTTTGTTAACCACGTAAATTAAAATGCGCAATTCGTCATATAAGAATATTTTAGAAGCGTTAATATAAAGGTAAACTCCACACGCGCTAATACGATCACATTCACATACAAACATCATGGTGTTGTAAATTATATACATCGAGTTGAAATTATAATAGCTCAGAAATATATAAGTGCCGAGTCGGGGCTCCCAAATCATTGGTGACTAGTCACAGGTGCGAGGTCAGTCTACAAAGTGCTTATGCAAATAATATCCGGAGTAAAACCAACGGGAAATAAATTTGAAAAGAACACAAAAATACTGGAAGGAGGACGTAAAAAAAGTGGCAAAAAAAAAAAAAAGAAGAAACATAACTTCATAGACAAATAAGTTTCCAACCTTGGCTGAAAGCTGAAGCTCAATTTTTTTCCTTCAATATTTTCTCATGTTTACGCTACTGTTTGCTGCTCGCACAGCAGACGGCGCAACACGGCGCCGTTGAGGTAGGCTCCAAAGAGGATTGTCTCTCAGCCCGCAGAGTAAGGAACAAAACAACAAACAATGCGACGCTATTTATGTTGTGCGTGTCTGTGAGTGCGTGTCCTTGTGCGAGTGTTTCACCGAGAGCTAGGCCGCTTGTGCGAGCGCTGAGGCTTTCAGAGAGGTTCCGTCGGCGCCGCAAGGTTTTGCAAAAGTAATTGTAATTGTGCCTAGAATTTTGCAATGACTACCACTACAAAGTAATTAAATTACAATTTCTTTTGGCCGAAAGTAAATAATTACAATTACAAATTACCAAGAAAAGTAGTTAAATTACAGTAATTCATTACTGTAATTGAATTACTACCTAGGTATGTTGTGGAGGCTACGCGGCTCACGTCATGCCCTCTCCTACCCTTTTATCCTCCTTGCATGGGTGACGGCAGCTACGGCGGCGACAGCCTCTCGCTAACGGTGTCGCGTGGGTAAGAGGCGAAGTTAACTGCCACCGTCTGGCGTTTCGTGTTCGGGTGCTGAGGGTCACGTGGTGTGCCGTCGGCGCGTTTCTGGTTGCCGGATCCGCCGGCTCGGTCTGGCCGGCGATTGACCACCCGAATTCACCAATAGTGAGGAGTTGGATGATCACAATCACTGACAGGAGGAGAATGGCAGGGATGTGTTTCAGTTGTCCCACCTCCAGTGTTCCTGCCTTCGGTAATACTTCGGCCTCTATAATGAGCTTCGAGCGTGCACGCGCAGTCAAAGGACGACGGAACGCAACGAGCGCGTTCTGGAGGTAGGGCATCTGAAAGAGACGTCCCTGCCGTTCTCAAGCTGTCATAACTAGAATACGACAACACTTGAACCGGCTAGCTCCTGCAATGCACATGAAATTGACAGGTTCTTCACAGTTCCTAGTCGCATTACTTCAGCATTGAATAAGAACGACAGAACAAGACTTGTCTTATTTATGGTACCATGCGTCCCGAGCAAGCCGGCCTTGCATACGAAAGGTTCATTTTTGGTTCTTAGGTCGAGTGTGATTTTACTAAAGTCTAGGAAATTTTCAACAAGGACACATTAAAGAAAACATATAAGAACCGAAGCGCAGCCGCGTTTGCTGCATTTGGAATAGTTTTCATCGGTGGTCGTATGCTTTTGTTTTCTTTCGGCAACAATGATCTGTTGACACGAACAAAATTCGGTTAAAATATGCGTTCGCTGTGTTTGAAACTTTCCCATCATTACTTTTTTTTCTGTTTATGCCGTAACGATCAAACTATATTAGGCTATCAGCTCGCTTCTGGTCTCGTCCTTGACTCGAAACGTTTGATTTTCGCTCTTGAAATCACGCTAGAGATTGAACAAGTACTTGGGGATAACGTTGGATGTGTTCCCTACAGATCTGTGTATATATATAAAGCCATAAAACTTTGTTCCCATACAAAAATGTCCTATAGTCGACTATAGAAAAATCTTTGTATGGTCGGCTTTAGCTATTTGGCCCAATTAGCTAAAGAATTTCCTATGGCTGTCTTTAGCATTTTTTGTAATCGCCTTTATGGGCCTTTTTAGCTTTGTCTATGGCCCTATCGCTGTCCAGTCATAGCGCTCTCTACAGGGATTTCCCTAGACCCCCCCCCCCCCCCTAGTTTTCCTGGACACCCCCCCTTGAATTTAAAAAAAAGGGAAAAATAAAATAAAAATTTTTTTTTTCAGGTTAAGTAGAAAACACCACCTCTCAGGTGTATATATAGAGAAAGGGAAACATACATTGCGGGTATGAGCATTTGGTTAATAGACGTCTGTAATTTAGCTAGTGGACTAAAAAAGAAACAGTTTTATATTTTATCTAGCCTCGCCTCGCATCGCCTCCCCCCCCTCCCCCCCCCCCCCTTGATTAGAATCCTGGGGAAACCCCTGGCTCTTTAGCTTGTCTAATGGTTGGCTAAAAACTTCTCTATGGCTTATCCTATGGCTCTCGTTAGCCAGCAAACTCTAAAAACATTTTACTTCAAGTTTCCCAAACTTGTGAACGCTACATGGTAGATATACATACATCTCTGAATACACAGAATACACAGGCCACAAGCAGAACACTACCCCACACAACAGCAGCAACGCAGCAACACCGGACTGCCATGTACACAGCTAGTGCGAACGTATGCTATGTTCGCACTAGCTGTATATATGACAGTCTAATTGTTTAATCCGACTTTGCCGGTGACCCATCATTTTTCGCAAAAACACGGAGAGGCGGAGCAAATATTACTCGTACTTAATACATTATTTGAATTGTCTCTTGGAATAGCCCCTTTCTCTTAATTCAACACCATGAAAAAAGCAAATGTAGATCATTAGGCTAATTAACTAAAATTTATCAATTATCTTTTTAATAAGTTTGATGAATTACGTTGACAATGCAGTGATGACATGCAGTACACTGGTGCTGAAGATTGCAATCAAGCTATTGCTTGACTGCAGTGTTCGTCGCCATTGTAATTTATTTTCACTTTTGGGGGTAGTAATTAATTTTAATTGTGTCACAAGTATTTTAATGGATTTTTCAAACAAACAATATTACTGATTTTCACGACTCATTGCAACAGCAGAGAACATATCTTGGGTCATGGTTTGTCACCGGCATTACAGAAATTTAGTATTGATTTAATTTTCTAACGTGGAGTGTTTTTACTAAAAAAGTAAGCGCCGGTAGTGATTTTCTATAGGCGTGAGAGAAAAGTTATTGGTTCTTAGTCTTTAGACTCGAGGCCATAAATTGTTCTATAGACGAGTAAAGACAATTAATTGGCTTCCAGTCTTTAAACTCGGGGCCAAAGAATTTTTTATAGGCGGGTAAAAAAATATTTCTTGGTTCGCTGTCTTTAGAAATGGGGCCATATAATTTTCTACAAGCGTCTAAAGAAATTTTATTCGTTCCCTGTCTTTGGACTCGGGGCCATAAAATTGTCTATAGACGGTTAAAGGCAATCTATTGGTTCCCAATCTTTAGACTTGTGGCCAGAGAATTTTCTATTCACGACTCCAGCAAAACGGACGCCACCAAGCGGGAAAACCGGGAACCAGCCGGACCAGGTCGCTCCGCGCCCCTCCGCGTCTCTGGTGGCTTTCGCAAACATGTGCTGTCGACGCGGTGGCGAACAGTGTAATTTCACGAAGGTCCGAAAATTTCTTAAGTTTCCCTGAGTGTTCATTAGTGTGGCGAAGGCTCAGTAGATTGTTTCATTCTATCACGTGTTTGAAAGCCCGTTTACTCCACAACACACGGTCGCGTGCTTTCGATTTCTTGGATGGGGAGGAATCACTGAAAAAGGTTTTGATTTCTTGTCTGTCTCGAATCACATTCAAAGTGACGACTATTTGGTAACTGATAAGTGGTTTCTTTATAGGGACGTAGAACAGTGGACTGAGGACGACAGACGAGGCATTTCACTGGAGGCAATGTTGCAGTCAAGTGAATGGGAAGGTTCGATAGCTGCTTTTCTTGAGTTTGGTTGTGTTCGGTTAGCTTCAAGTTTGAGCCACCCACGCCGGTCGGTGCGTTGGCTATTCATCTTGGCTGCTTTTCGCCGAAAAAGCCTCTGGACCACACTGAAGGAGTTGGGTTGATTTCACAATTACTTGATTCAGGAAAACCTGCTGGCTGCAAATGATGAATGAGGGAAATTACCTGTTTTCAAAAGGTGGGGGACGAGTTTCGCAACGAGTCTCGCAACGTCAGAAACTGTCACGGCATTTTGATCTATCGCGCCTCCAATATTTATATTATACCCCTGTACTCATTTTCTCCGTCCAGGATTCGAAGCAAAGTTCAATGCAGAGAGGTTCTGCATTGAACACACAAAAGCTCGATTTCGAGGACAGATAAGTTGCATGGTCGGGGCATGCGAGTTAGCTGAAAATTGCTTTCGGTGGAACAATTCTGTGGTCATCGCCGCTTTCCTCAGATGATCGAAACTGATTAGTATATTACCGTTGCTCCGGAGCCCATAGTTTCGGTTTTGAACGAAATCTCCGAAACGAAAGTTTGACATGAAAAGAACAGAAAAACTCCGGGAAAACAAAACTATGCTTTGCAAGTTTATGTGCACCGGCTACACTTAACCGTCTGAGTTCAAATACCTATAAAATTGGGCATTAAACAAAATAAAATATGTTAAATTTAACGCGCCACCTGTTCAGGTGGCCCGGCCGAACCGATGCGACGTGGACTCAGCCGCCATAGGTCGCTGGAGTCGCGAATAGGCGGGTAAAGAAAATGTATTGGTTCCCAGCCTTTAGACACAGGGCCATAGCTTCTTCTATAGCTGGCTGTAGCTGTCTTTATGGATTTCTATGGCCGACCATAGAGGGCCATAGGTGGTGATAGCCAGCCATATAATTTTCCATAGACGACCATAGACCATTTTTGTATGGGTTAATTCGGAAGCTTCGAACGCACTTCTGAACTGCCCGACTTCGGGGCGTGTGTAGTAGTGTGTACTGGTTTATGGCGCCCATATTCTGCAATAGTGTCAACTTGCAACACTCCCGCTGAATCTTATATTTCATATTAGTTTGTTCTCCATTATTATTATATGAACCTCTTCTCCTCCCAAGTAAAAAAAAAGAAGTAAAACAGATTTCTTTGAAGACATTCATTCCTCTCTTATCAAAACTTTATGTACTTGTCTTAGAATAATAGCATGTCTTCGCGTAGTATCGTTTAGTCAATGAAAAACGCTGACGCACTTCACATAGCTGAACTTAATGACAGAACATATAAGCAAAGATGTGACGTACTTTCGCCAGGCGGGATCATGACGTTGTAACTGTTGACCTTGATGGGCATCTTGTTAGCTCCTGTGTAGCTCATTACTTCAACCCGGATGATAACCTGGGCTGGATAAGCCTTCGCAGCATTCTTGTTGGACGCCTTTAGTTTGAACTGGAACCGAACAAAATGGCTCATAGTGACAATGCAAAGTCGGCTGTAAGCGAATTTTCATCTGTATTACGACCAGCTTGGCAAACATACAGATACAACATTAGCAGAGGCAAATGATATGAACATCATTGTAAACCTGAGACTGGGACAGGAAGAGAACACAACAGAAAGTAGTAAAAGAGGAGACGTTGCCTCCTCTTTTACTACCTTCTGTTGTGTTCTCTTCCTGCCCCAGTCTCAGGTTTACAATCATGTTCAACTTACACCAGCTCGCCTGCACTCTGACTATTTTTTCGCAAATGATATATGGGACAATTTTTAAATTTGCGTTTAGAAACTTTTCACTTACTTTTCAATCATTTGTTTCATAAGCTGTTTGCAGAGTTTGTGATATACTTTAATATCATAACATAATATACCGCACCATTACGCGTGTCACTCGAGACACGTCACAGTTGTTACTTGCATCATCCATTAATGATATCGATAAAAAAAATTAGCTTGTGCTTTGCCAGTACTCGACGTGTTGCTAAAACTTGCGTATTTCGTGCTATCCTTTTGGGATAGTCGTAGTGGGGAAAAGTGCAGTCTAATGAGGCGAATAATTTAAACGACTGTTACCCCTTTTGTGCTTCTGATACACTGTCAACATTAAGTAATTTTTGCGAAAGAGATTTTCGGACACGAGATACGTGGCGCGCTTATAGTTATCGCCTGGTGCTAAATGACACGCATAGGAAAGTTTTATACTTTTTTTCCCCAGATGAATATGGCAATTTCAGCGTTAGTACAACGGGAGGCACGTATTGATAAGCTCGAGAATACTTCAGTCTCGAGAAGGTTAGCTAGCCTTATGGCGAAAGTGTCGTGTCCCTCATGGATAAATTTGGCGTCCATTTTTATCCGCAAATGCCTTTGGTAGACTTTGTTACATCTCAAAGGACACGGACTGGCTTTATCTCTTTACTCAGGGCTCTTCATTTCAGTATGAATGCTCACCAATACGAAGTTCCAGCTTAACCCCTTGCATCCCCCACTTTCTGTTTATTGTAACGTTCTTTCCTAGCTCCTACCCGAGGACAGCCTGACTAGAAACACGAGGAGAAGGGCTCGTATACTTGGTCTGTTTTCAGGCGAAGTGATCTTGCCACATGGATGTGACAAGATCACTGTACAACACGAGGCTAATTTATCGGCAACATAGATTTATAGCTGAGATTGTAAGGAGCGGAGCTTTATACTCTGTTTCACCACAATCTGGCAAATGGTGCAACCTTCTTCCACAGCAAGAAAATCAGGGCACCGGGGCGCTGCACGTAATAACGCACCGTCGGCGTGCACTCCTCACATGGAGAGATGTCACGTGCTTCGCTCAATCACTCCGATTGGCTCGAGGCGCCTGTAGCTTTCGCTCTTGGCCAAGGTATGCTGAAACAGAGTATAGTCGGATACCAGAGAGGTTGTCTGGACTCGCGACCCGGCACGACGGAAGGCGCCCGCCCCATACGCACAACGAAGTCCGATCCGATCATGACGTCTTCCAGGCGGTCAAAGTCGAAGGAGACGTCCTCCAGGTCCACGTTTAGGTAGTACCGAGAGTAGGCGTGGTTACTTTCCCGCAGAGCCTTCAGGACCACATCACGTTCTTCCTTGGTTCCTGAAGTGTACGGCAAAAGACAACAAAAATCAGCGCCATTTCGGCGACAGCCCTTTGTGATAAGGTTCTGCAGCGGAGCCGGGGTGTGTGTACGCTGTACGCTGTGGCCCGCTTATTTTAGAGCGAATATTTTCCCGCTAGATTTAGCGGGGGAATCGCAGTGTCACGTGACACTGTAACGGCACGCGAAGTGTTTCCCGGTTAAGTTTAGCGGGGAAATTGTGACGTCATACGACACCACGTGACAGTGTCACGTCACTTGAAGCATTTCCCCGCTAAATATAACGGAAAATTTGTTTGCTAAATTTAGTAGGGAACTTGTGACGTTACGTGACGTTACGTGACACAGTAAAGTCAGTGACGTTACATGACCATGTGAAACTAATGTCATATGATGTCACGTCATGTGAAAATATAAGTTTTGCACCTTTGCCAAATTTTGAATCTTGGTGAGGAATGATAGTGTGTAATCTGTGTGCACTCTGCAGCACCTCACTTGTCATCTCAGTTCATTCTCAGGACAAGGCAGGGAATCGGCAATTTTTGTAATTGGTTCCTTGTCAACAGTGAACGAATATACTAAAGGGTTTCCAGTATTTTTAACAGTAATACGGTAAAGCTATATTACATTTGACTTACTTTTGGAGACAATGAAGCTGTTGAACTGACATGGCAAAATAAGTAATCCTTCAAAATCTTGAGGATCGATAATTATATACATTTGGCGAACATAATGGGACTCCACGAAATCTCACCTCACGTTCACGGCTTATAAATCACATATATCAATGAGCGTTTTTGCCATCTTCTAGAAACGCTTCCCGAAATGGGGGAAGGGGGGGGGGGGGGGGGGGGGAGGAGGGTCGCACGCGATCGAGTCTTTGCGACAGTACTTTATTTCACTATTTCGAGAGTTTCGTACAGCATTGTGGGAAGCACAAGCACCATGCAGTGCGTGACTTTCGAAAAAGAATACGCATTGAAACAATGCGCACTGCAGAGCTCCACTTCAAAGGGTTTTCTTGATTCTACAAACATTTCCTTCTCGATTGTGACTTTTTTTTTTTTTAAATCTATTTCTGTTTCAGCATTTACGAGCACTTCATTTGTTTCTGGCGCCTCCCAAAATTGCCTCGAATTGTATACTCACTCTCTGGTTGTTTGTAGCTGTCGGTCAAGTCTTCCCTGTCCCAGCAGCCGACTGCCTTGGTACTGATGCGCTGCCCTATCCTAAAAGAACGGCAGCAGAATATTCTTTAACTTAGCTGCTTCCTTCAATAGACATAGCTTAGTGTGCTCTGATCATAATGTTTTTTACACATGTTTTTCTTATTAGGAGGAAGATCTCCTTCCTCAAGTGACATGTTGCTTTCCATGGTTACGGTATTTTTGAAACGTATTCAAAGAACGAGCTGCTGTCTTATAATAGCACAATTAAATTGAGCGTTTACTATGATGCGCAGTGCGCAGAAAAGTTAAACTTTCTTGTATGGAGGTTAGGGCGGGAAGTTAGTCGGTCTAAAAATAGCGTCTGGTGTACCCGCTGTAGACAGGAAATTTAGCCAGTGCATGTACAGCGTTGTACGGGTTTCCAACGCCAACGAAAAGTGCTGCAGCGAGGAGACGTGCAAGCGGGTAGGCGTTCCTTCGAACAGGAAAGGCTGAGATGGGCAAAGTGACGGCACGTAAAAATTAAATAAACATGCTCTAAAAATATTGGTAAATAAAAAAACAAAAAAATCAAAGTCCCATTTTTTTTTTTTTTTTTTTTTGGGGGGGGGGGGGGGGGGGGTGGCTTTTGGTCCGGAAGCATTGGCATCGACTTTGAAAGTTTAGCCAATTGTCAAAAGTTGCGACTTTGATAGCACCATATGTTTTACTCACGATTCATGTAATTTTACAGGGATTTCTCAGATTTGTTGGAATGTTTTCATTTTAGACTATCTTTATACAGTGTTAATTAAAACTGCTGCAATTGGAACCAGTGATGATAATTTGCATATTCTTTATTGCCATAGTTGTTCGCGCGTTTGAATTTAGATCATAAGCGACAAATTATATTGGAGCTTGAAAAAGTGCGTACTAAGTATCTTAATTCTATTATTATTAGTCATACAAATTGCGGCAATGTAGGTCCCCAATAAACGCCTGGATCACAAAAATAAGCCATTTAACTATAATAGTCTTTCCGGAAAGGTATCGATTTGTTTTATTCTTAGCATACAAAAAAACAAAGAAACTCTGAGATCGTTATCAAGATAGTCAAACACTGGTTGTAATATAAAGTCCTATGCGTCACGCGTTGCTTTAAACAACACACAACTCTGCTGTCTGACTTGAATTCCGACTTTGGGATTTTGTAGTAAGAACAGCGTTTCTTATTTTATACATTTTGTGAAGCATCACCCGTGGAGATTTTTGTTTTATTTTGGACTGATTATTTTCGTGCTAGGAATAATGTTAAATCAGTTAATCATTAAATTACCCCAAAACCCATTAAAAGGCCCGCAGTTTATTATCTCACATGACAATTATCTGAGCGATAAAAGGCAGTAGGAACACAAAAATATCAGTGCCGATTTTTTCAACAAATACGATATCCTATGTTACCTTTAAGGTGTAAGAAAGACCCTGGCTTTAAAGAGGCACTGAAGCGCCTGGATCGGACAGGTATGTCACAGAATAGTTTCCGCGAACAACTCGTTTAGCTAAATAATTACGCTGCGAGACACATCTTGAGATAGAAGAGAAATGAAATTAAAAAAATAGGTTAGTTTCGGTTTCGTTCCAGAATTAAAACGTGCCTCCTGGCGTAAATATTACGCTAAACACCGTTTTTGTCTTCAGGGTAAACAGATGACCTGCGCTCGTAGCACGCTAGCTTCCTCGTATAAACATAAATAATGTGTGTCTCTCAGTGAAGCCAGCACACTAGACAGGTCAGCAACTGGTATACCGGCACGCACCTCCGACCCTCACTACAACCGCCATTTTGGAAAATGAGTGGCGCCACCTATAGACAGTTGGAGTCGCGAATCAAAGGCAAAGCTTAAGCATCCCCCAAGTTTTTACAAAATCCTTCTCCACGGTTGTTTCGCAGCGTGCATTATAGCGGACAGTATGAGCGCGAACTACCCGGCATGCTTCTGTGGCAGACTTGCCAGGTTTCTGTGGAAGATCTTGTCCTGATTAAGATTGACACGCAGAGTTTAGGCCCACTTCTAAACCGCATGACAAATCGAAATATAGTGGAGCTTGTGGATACCGGTGGCATAGCAGAATTCCAGATGTAGTTTTGCAGATCATATTGTCCGGGAGTATACATGTGACAGTTTGTGCTTTATTATTATTGAAAAAAAAAAATTAAGACAGCACCATTGGCAAACATTTCAAGACCGCGAGAAACATCACAAAGAATTCAGAGACATCTCGGGGTACGCGGTCTAAAAATGTAAATAAATCATATGTAAACATATTTTTGTCGAAGATTTTGTGGTGTATATATTCTTGGATTGTGCACAATGTATTCTGTCGCATTCACTCCTGCTTGGACCATCATGGTCTGCAGAATGTTGTAAAAAAAAAAAAAACAACGTAAAAAAACGTTTTTGTTTGTTTGTTTTATAATACTGCTCCACAATGTGGCGCTAGTAGACGTTTGAGTGAGAAAGTCGTACTTGTCCGTGTTCTTTTTAATTATCTTGAGGGGTTGCTTGGGGCCCAAGTAGCGCCAGGAGATCTGGTCTGCATTCACCTCAGCAAAGACGAACGGGCAATCGTAGGGTTTGAGAATCTCTCCTCTCTTGACCGCCTTCACACTGACGGGACCGAGACGGAAGAGTCCTGGAAGCAGTTTGACATTATGTATTGTTCATAGAGTTAGTATAATGTACGCTAGAGGTTCAAGTGGCGCTAGTGTGCTGACGCAAATTGAAGCAGACAGCAACCAGTTGAAAATTGACTTCCGGTAATGCATTTCTATGGGAAAAAGTGAGTGCATTTTTTCTTTGCGCTCGACCATAAGAGCAAATATCCCGAATAATTCGTACGTACTAGGTAGCTTGGAACATTTCTCAGTCAGGCCGACGAAAGAATTGGTCAGTTACAGCGTTTTTCTTTCAAATTCATTGCATTAAAAAAGGTGATAAAACCGCTTCGTACGTGTAGTTATGTGCACTGTCGGACACTGTTAGCGCGAGCACGACGTCGGCACTTTTCAGCATGAGGGATATACGTGCCAGACGAACAAAGGACATCTGGAAATTAAGGGAGATGGCAAGAACTACGCAGTAACACTGAATCAGTAACTACCTGTGCATGTACGATCAAAATAAATTGAAGGCCATGTAATATATTCCGATTTTAAATAAGTAAAAGTACCACTTTATTGTTTCTGCTCTGTTCGAAGGTGCTTGTTCTATGTTCAAAATATCACTCGCACGCTCGAAATATTTGAGAACAAGTGCCCGATAAAAGCTGCCCGGCAGAGAAAACAATACGAAGAGACACCTTTCGTAGCCCACGTACTTTATTATTTTCGTTTTGAATGTTTTTATCCGCTCATGCACGACGGGGTCATTTTCATATACTGACAGGACTGGCATATTACCAGTATATAAGCGTCACCGGAATGCTGGCGAGCCTTGAACACATTCTATATTCCTTTTGATTGTAAGTTTGCTTAGAATTGTCGCTTGTTTTTACACACCTGCTGCGGAACACACGTTTGGGACTGAAAGGTAACCAAGTTAAACATCGTTCACTGATGAATAAAAATGCGATAACTAAAGCAATTACACTTTTACAATGTTAATTAAGGTACATACTATTCGGTATGACCCAAATAACAAAAGTTATCTATGTTATTTTCCGGCGAAGAGACAAAATGCACGCGCGTTTTCCCATAGGAATGCACAGGAGCATCGCAAAAGTAGACTGTTGCTGTCTGCTTCAATTAGCGTCACGGAAGTCGCATAGACACTAGCGCCAGTTGAACCTCTAGCGTACATTATAATAACTCTATGGTGTCGTTAGTTATGCCCCACATGGTTCGTTCGAGCAAGACAGCCTCTCGAATGGGCCCGAGTTGTTTCGTCGACGTCTGGAGTCGTCAAACCGCTTTTGAAAACAAAAAACAAAAAAACTGTGGTTCCAAGACGGTTACCGGCATGAATCGGTTATAGGTTTTAGAGATCTAAATACACTTACATATCTGTATCTGGATAGCTTAAATTTAAACGCACATAAAACCCCAAAATGAACAAACGGAATCCGTGCATAGACATTTTGGGCTAGCAGTTTTAAGAGTCCCTACGCCCCTGCCCGTAATCTCAGACCGAAATAGCGATATTGGACACCTCGGTGTTTTACAGGATATAGTAAAAGAACCCGACTGTACTATGTCCCTGCATGATTTAATAAACTCCCGTCGTGTGTTATTAACGCCACAACAAGGTATAAACTGAAGAAAGCACTGAAAAACGTTAACGTATAACACCCCCTCCTCCCCCCCCCCCCCAAAAAAAAAAAAAAAAAATGGTTGACTTTGGTTTCGGTTCTGATTTCGTTTCCTTTTTAACTTATGTACTCTGTATGTGTGTGTGTGTTTCGTTTGCTGACTGCCAGACCCTGCCAGACAAGCCCATTGAGGCTTTGGCAGGTCTGTTTTTGTATGTGTACCTTGCATTCGATAAAAGTTATTATTATTGTAAATATTATTATTAATATTATTATTAGATAGCGTTATGCCATTATGCCAACCATTTTAGGCAAGAAACGAAAAGAACAAAAAAAGAAGGACTGGCGGTTGAACTTGTGTGAGCTACTTGCAGCTCGTTTCGGATGCTGTCGATTCACGTGGGGTCTTGTTGCTATAGACCTTATTAGAGTTTCTGTATAGACTCCCTACGGGAGCCAGAGTTGCGTGTTCATCCCCGTAGCGCCGTCTTTCCTGCACGGCATGTTGATCCCGCTCCTCGCGTGACTGAATTCGGCGAATACCGGCGCCGTGAGTTCGAGGCGCGCGGCGCGCTCAGAAGCAGGGGAACGGGGGGATCGGCGGCCGAGTGGACACCCAGCTCGACGCGCGTGGAGCGAAAGCTCGCGCTGCAGAACCCAGGGATCCTGGGTTCGAGCCCCACCCCTGCCCGTTTCGATCTGGATGAGCATCTTACCGGCGTGCGGTCGTGTATCACTACTGCGTGGTGCACGTTAAAGACCCCAGGCTAGCGGTTGTACTGCACTGGCTAAATTGCTCATCTACAGCGTGTGACTCGTTGCAACTTTAATGGCTGACCAACTACACGCCGTATAAATATCCCCATATCTCTGAAATAAAAGCCATGCTGGGATGGGAATCATTAAACACTAGAAGGTATAAGTTAAGGTTGAAGTTTTTTCATCGGATTTATTATAATGAAACTGGCATTGATAGAAATGAGTATTTGTATAAACCAAGTTACATGTCAGCGCGGTTCGATAACTCTGAAAAGGTTTTTGAGTACTGTTATAAAACAAACAATTTTGGTAGTTCTTTTTTTGTTCAAACAATCAAAGACTGGAACCTGCTGCAACAGGAGCTGGTCAGTATCTCAGACAATGATGTATTTTTTTCTTGTTTGTGAAAATCACTGTTATTTGTTATTTCGTGATCCCCCCCCTACGATAATGCCCACGAGGCGATGTAGGTATTCTGTAAATAAATAACCCAATTTTAAAAGCAGTTAAAAGCAGGGGAACGTACGCCGGTGCACGTGCATCGTCTACTCTCCTGCACGGCATTTGATCGGATCACGCACGTGATCGAATCTCAGCAAATAGCGGCGCGGCGGCACGTGGGAAACAAACAATTATTTCAAGTTTTGCTGTAAAAACTTCCGATTAAAAAGAAAAAGACAAACAAAAACAAAAAAAAAACGCAATCCGTATATTTACTTCTTTCTTCGTTAATTGCCCAGCGAGACACATGAGTAGTGCGAAATCACTTTCTCATTGCAGCGCTTTGCGCGTCACCTCAAGCATGGGTCGCCATGTTTTAGGCTACGCACTTCGGAACCTTGAAGGCTATGTATGGGCTACGGACGAAGTTTTGCGCAATCTCCGACAGATGGCGCGAAAATCTGATTAAGGGGAAGCAAGGACATAGACCAAAAAGCTGGTGGGACAAAGAAGTGAAGCAAGCGGTACAAAAACGTCAGGAAGCCTCTAGAGAACACAGGTATTCCAAGCGTAGTGGGGAGTCCGAAACGGAAGTAAAAAGAAAATGGGACAATTTTATAACATGTCGCCGAGAGGCATCCAGTTTTATCAATGCGAAAATTCAGAGAAAGGGTGAGGAATGGATGAGTAATGGTAAGCAAGAAAGATAGAAACGCTGCCAAGAAGTTTTGGGAGCACTTGAACTCACTCGGTGAAACGACGCAAGCTAGACAGAGGTTCATACTCTCGCATCAGGGAGATCAATTAGAGGGAGATGATGCGATACAGTATATAGGAGCAGTGATGGAGGAGAAATTTCGGGAACGGGTACATGTGGAAGATAGGACAACCGAAGGAAGTAGCAGTCCAGTTTGTGACATCGCGGATTTTGGACAAAGAGAATGGGAAAAGGCGGAACGAAGAGTCCCTAGTGGCACGTCGACAGGCACACATGGTATCCCTATCAAGCTGGTGATGAATTTGGGTCCTAAATCTAAGGCAAAACTAAGGGAGGTAGTGAGTACCATGATAACAAAAGGAAATATTTCAGATGAATGGAGGCTTAGTAGGATGAGTATGGTATATAAGGGAAAGGGAGATAAGTCTGATATTAGGAATTATCGTCCCATAACCGTGACACCGGTTATTTACAGGTTGGTAATGCAGATTATAAAGAACAGACTGGAGGAATTGGTAGATTGCGAGGGCATACTGGGCGAGTTACAGAACGGGTTTCGGAAACAAAGAAGGTTGGAGGACAATTTATTTTCTCTAACACAGTGTATAGAAATAGCGCAAAAAGAAAACAGACAGCTCTGGCTGGCATTTCTGGATATCAAAGGTGCCTATGACAATGTGAACCAAAGGAACCTGTGGGACATAATGGAGAGCTTAAACCTAGATGAAGAGCTAACAGCACTATTAAGGAACATTTACAAAGATAACAAGGTGATTATAACATGGGAAGGAAAGGCGACAGGGAAAATAGAGATAAGACGAGGCCTTAGGCAGGGGTGCCCGTTATCGACTTTGCTGTTTATGTTTTATCTGAGAGGATTGGAGGATAGACTAGAGAAGAGTGGGCTTGGATTCGTCCTTTCTTACAGTAAGCTAGGCCAAAAAATTCAGCAATCTTTACCGGGATTGATGTATGCGGACGATATCGTACTAATGGCTAACAACAGGACAGAGTTGCAGGAATTAATGAGCATCTGTGGTATGGAAGGAGAGGAATTAGGTTTAGAATTCAGTAGCGAAAAATCAGCAGTCATGATTTTTAACGAGGATGAAGTTGAGAGGCTGAAGATACAGAATATTACAGTTAAGAGAGCTAGTAAATACAAGTATCTAGGAGTATGGATATGTGATGATGCAGAATATCTCAGAGAGCATGAAAAGTATATAATAGGTAAGGGCAACAGAAATGCAGCTGTAATGAAAAATAGAGCACTTTGGAATTACAACAGGTATGAGGTGGTGAGAGAGATTTGGAAAGGGGTCATGGTGCCTGGCTTGACTTTTGGAAACGCAGGGCTATGCATGAAATACGAAGTGCATGCGAGACTAGAAATAAAACAGCGCAAAGTAGGTAGACTGGCTTTGGGGGCACATTGCAAAACACCAAACCAGGGAGTACAAGGAGACATGGAACGGGCGTCATTTGAAAGCAGGGAAGCGGTGAGCAAAATAGAATTTGAGGATAGGTTGAGGCAAATGGATGGGGAGCAATGGGCACGAAAGGTTTTCAGCTATTTATACATGAGGAGTGTAGACACAAAGTGGAGACAGCGCACTAGGAAATTAAGAGGAAAGTTTTTGGGCTATAACGAAGATACGGAAGAGCAATTCTCAGTTAAGAAGAAAGTTAAGGCCACAGAAAGAGATCGGTGGCTAGAGGGAATGCAGACAAAGACGGCTCTGGAAAGCTATAGATTGAACAAAACAGTTATTGCCAAAGAAAGCATTTATGACAATTCTAGGGGAAGCTCATTGTTGTTTGAGGCGAGGACGGGTGTTCTGCGAACCAGAACATACAGAGTGAAGTACCAGGAAATGGATACAGTGTGCACTGCTTGTGGAGAGGAGGACGAGACGGCTGAGCACTTGATACTCTACTGTAAAGGGCTTCACCCTATGCCTACCGAAGACAACATAGATTTAATAAAGTCATTGGGTTTTAGAGACAGCGAAGGGAGAGTGGATTTCAAGACTGTCGAGATTACCAAGCAAAGATTAAGTGAATGGTGGCAGAAATCGAGAGAAAACTAGGTATTTTCTTATTCACTGATGGCAAGGGGGTTTCATAGCATAACTTTCTTTGCACTGCGGAGTGAATATAGATTTCACTTTTAAATATTCTAAGCTTAAATGGTAAAACAAAATGGCTAGGTGGCGTAAGCTACCGCCCGATCCAAAGGGCTCAGCCGTATTCATCCATCCATCCATCCATCCGGTTTATTAATACTTTGACGATATAATAAAGAGTCGTGGGACACGCAAGAAAAGCATCCAAGCAGATCGGTTGGTAAATATCAAGCGACAAGTTCCAAGTCCGTTGCTCAAGCAGAGCAAATTAGATGTCAGTTCTTTTAGACAGTGAGGTCGGTCTGCTCTTGTATAAAGACACTGTGAATGAACAATTTTATCCCATGCAGTACGACTGATAGGCTGGGGTCTTTAACTTGCATCATGGAGTGGTGATAAATGACCACAAGCCGTACGATGCTCATACAGATCAGAACGGGCAGGGACGGGGACCGAACCCATGATCGCTGGGTTCGATCTCCGCCCGTGCCCGTTTCGATCCGGATGAGCAAACTGAACACACTTTGATGGCGAGTATCCACCGTGCTTCCGGAACGTGCTATTCACGATGTCTGTAGACGTTTGCAAGCAGCCGCGCTTCAACAACTAGTCTGGCCACCATGGATGGAAAACGCATTGTTTGGGTTCCAGTCTGGAAACTGTTGGTATGCTTCATGAATGCTTGACTATCAGACGATCTACACACCAACAGCAGCAAGATCTACACACAGACGTTTGCAAGTACGGCCCAGAGGCCGTACTTGCAAACGTCTATAGGGTATATTCACTTGACGCCATATTTGTGTGCGCCATTCAGAGCGCGTGTTCAGAACGAGCATACATTAATAAGACCGGTAATCTTGGCGGTGTGGAGTTCACGTTGCAAAATAACTGTGGAAGCTCGCCGTCAGCACGCGCTCAGCAGTCGTGCACACACACAGCTATAGCCGCCAGTGTATACTCCCTATTGGCGACGTGCGCGACTGAAAGCGTCGCTGTTGTCGGCCTTCCACGATTGGCCGAACGCTGACTATGACGTCAGAGAAGGATTTATCATCGACGGAAATAAGAGGAATGAAAGAACTTTAATTTTTACGGTGTTGGCTGTGTTTCTTTGAGAGCGCAATGATTTCAAGCTTCCACCATGCTCCTTACAAACACCATCGAACTTGTTGTTTGCAAGGTAATGACGTCACAAGGGGGAACCATAGGAGGGCGCCACTAAAACATCTCGCCGCTAATACTAGGCGTCAGCTATTTTGTGCTATTAAGGCTAGCGTAGCTTACACAGTGCTCCAGCCCCGCACTTCTGTGAGAGGACGTGGCTTCGTATTGTGTCTCATTCGCAAGCGCTCGCGCAATTAGCTTTGACAGGGCACTGAGGACGCCTTGCTAGCCTTGACAACCTAGCACAAAATAGTTGACGCCGAGTAGAGACGGTCATTCTTGGCAGACGATAATGGGGAGTTCCTTCTGAACGTGCGCTGTGAAAGACGCCCTCAATACTAAACAAAAAAAGAAATAGGCAAGGGGAAGTTGTCGTGGGCAAAGGTACGATACATCTCAGCTTGGTTCTCGTGGGACCAAAGGTTCACAAGCTGAAGGCGTTTCGTAACGCCAGAGTCCGTAACGCCTAAAGTGCGTCGTGCGCGTTCCACAGCGACGCGGTCAAGGTTGGCTACAAGACCGCACCATCGGACTTTTCTTGTGGCGTCGCATCGATGACTTGCCATCCCGTGTAGTCTCCGGGCTCCAGGTCCGGGCGTGCCATCCAGACCTCGGTCCAGACGTGGAAGTTCCTTAAAAGACGCGGGACACAGGCGCGCGCGCAGGGTATCGATGTTAGACTCGCAGTGCATCAAAATCAATTCAACCTCTAGCTACGCGCACACGCAGGATTCGGAGCGTCGGAGACTGCTTGTCTGCTTTCACAAGAAGAGTGTATCTAGAAGTCAGGCCGTTGTAGTTCGATAAAAACGAACAAAATCTAAATCGTATTCGAGAACATATATATCTTAAAGCTACTTTAAAATATACTATATTAGCCCCTTACGTTCGTAAAAACAAGCACCCTGTCCCCTTTACACAGCCGCTTCCGCTATTCGTTCCCAAGATTAACCTTGGGTATCTGATAGCAAGAAGGTCTAGTGCCTGCTTTGTATTCTTCGTTTGATTTCATCCCACTGAAACTCAGTGGGCTAACCAGCAGTTCGCGTGACCGAGTATTGAATAAACTAAAAATAACGCTGAAATTGGAAACGCTCAAACCCGGGGCAAGCGCTAAATTTAAGATGTCATCTGACAGCATAGCACACACCTTAAGATGACATCAACGTCATTACTGTAACAAAAATAGTATGAATGAACAAATATTTGCAGCAATGAGTAAAGTAATTAGTTACTTTACGAAACAGTAATTGAATAATAAAATTATTTACAAAAGTGCGGTAATTCGTAGAAAACTATATCATTATTTTTGGTGCCCACATAGTGTTGTCGCGCATTACTTTCATAAATGGCAAAGCTTTGCAGCGATAACCTTACAACAATCGGCTCAATATCCTGCGAAACAGAGTTTATATAGTTCATTTACGTCCTCAACATATAATTATACAAGGTAAAATATATGTTATCTCTTGGATGTAAAAGTGTGACCGCGTTATCATCTATATCAAATGTGAAATCAAGAGAATTAGCCACCACTTAATCGAAGCAGTTATAATATACTATAATTGTCTTCGCTTTGCCGTAATTTATAATAAATGTATTTCTTACGTCGTCATTTAAGATAAATATCTCGTAATAAAAATCAGAAACCAGGTGATTTGGTCATGTCTGGCGGCTATGCGCTTTCCCTGGAGGCAGCGTTTCTCCCTGGTCACCGCTGCATAGTGGAGAAGCAGCAATTTGCAAGGGCAGCGAGCGGAAATTCGAAGGTGCCCCTAAGGCACCCTAAATTAAGCGAGTGCCCAGTCAGCATCATAATGCCAGTGTCAAACATGCAAAATTTTAAAGTTTTTTTTTATTTTTATTTTTTAAACTATTATAAGTGCTGCTCGAACATCCGCAAGACACTACTTTGGCGTTGTGAGGGTGAGTCAGTTCTGGCACTGTACTTGTTATGCTCTGTTTTTGTTTCTAACAGACAATTTGTTCCGCTTTAGGAAGATAACACCTGTATTTCTTGATTAAGCCCTTAATATTGATAACGATTAAAATGAACATATTGGGCAGGGAACCAACCCGATTTAGAAAGAAATAATTTCAACGTTCCTCGCGAAGCAGTTTTTGTGCAAGGTACCGTTCGCGCAAAAACGTATACGCGAAACTGATCTGTAAGAATACGCGGCGGAAGCCCACCAGCACGTGCTCCAAGTTTCGGGACATGCTGCCGCTGTATGAGCGCTCACGTACCACGTGTTCAGTGGCCGACGACATTAACATTGCGAAGCGACAGCGTTGTCGCCCTTTGGGGCGCGTCGGGGTTCCACTAGCAGTGACGTCATGCGCAAGTCTTGTCTTCTGGGTGACATCAGGTGAGCTCATCAGGCGGGCAGCGGCCGAGAAACAGCCACGTAATTTTTCGACAAAACTTCATAGTCGACAAGGCCACGCGACAGCGCGTGGCGTTCACGCGCCCGTCCGTTTACTCCGCACGACTCGCACCGGGCACGCGAAGTCGAGCACGTGAACGAAAGCGAAGCGTCTACACTCTCACCAGATGGAGTCGGTGTTCATTTTGTCGACATCCTGGCCTTTCTCGTCGATGAACAGGTCTACCGTCAAGCTGCAATGCGTGTCGTGGGCAGAGTAGTAGTTGGTCACGGCCCTGGCTGGAATGCCCAGACTTCGGCACACTGCCGGCCGTCGACAACGAAAAAAGAAAAAAAATAAAGAATGCTTTCGATTATTTAGTGTGTGTGCAATACGCACCAAGCTCGCCATTAACGCGTCAATGCTCAACATGATAACATTTGGTTCCATCGCGTAAAACACTGAAATGTTTGCACAACCACCGTCCACTCTGTTTCTCCGTGGAGTACGAGCGAGGCCACCGCTACAAGCACGAACGTGTCCTCTTAATGACAACACGCTGACGTAACACCATTGTCACTGCCTAAGTCCTTGTCTTTGATGAGCACATTCTATCACACTATAAATTTTCATGATTGCTCCTCAATTGTCAGAGAAAACCAGGCAGGACAAGCGATGACTCGTTCGCCGCCGCGCTATCTGTTCCGCACTCCGTCCCTGCGTTACTTTACACAGGCGCACATTTTTACGCTCCAGATCGACAGACACCCGTGTAAAAAGTTTCACTGTAATACGTTTATTGGATTATTTATAGTTTTCTTTTTTTTTTGTTGACGCCTGAATTGTACTCGAAAACCATTGGTTTAATATCGTATTTGAAAATAAAAAATAAAAACGAAAGCCTGGTCGAGGTTGAAATGTCTTCAATATTCAAATGCAATAGTAAGCACATTTTACTGCGGATAGCATTAGTAAGTTTTATTGGCACCGTCGCCTCTCTCGAATTCGATGCCAAGTGGCGTAAAACCCGAAGCAATTATGGCGTTCGTTTCATCAAGGTTGTCGTCATACGAGGAATCTGCAGGTGTCTCTCGGACACGACTCCTATACCTCAGTTTCACCTTACGATGGACCATAGCGAACGCCATGAGATATCCAAGCCAATCAAGCGATGGAAATGTATCACGTGACAACACGCCTCGGGCGTCGTTGCGATTTTCCCGAAGATCACGTGACACTTGCGAGCCATTTAATTGGTTGCGATGGCTCGTAGCGTCCGCTGTGGTCCATCATGAGGTGAATCGACTTCTAAGGTGATTCTCGAGCGCTGTTCGGGCGTCAAAGAAGTTCGTATTATAGAAACCAATGAACTGGGCACAATGAACTTTTTTTCACAAAGGTGTCTTTAGGCGGTACATTAACATAATGTGTTCTATCGGCCACATTCCATGCGGCACCATGTGTCATGTGACACCGCGACGTGACGCTGTGATGTCGTGACGTCACGTGACCCTGTGAAGTGACTTCATGAGATCACTGACACCGTGATGTCCCCCCCCCCCCCCACACACACACACACACACGAGCGTCGTGCCCAGCTCATTCGCAACGCATTCTGTGCTCCCCGGTCTTCGTCAGCACGATCGAGCTGGTGAATTTTGTTTTACAAATTTATTCTAATGTTTATTTGACAGGTTCACGGATACCAATTTGATCGCGAAAAACCTAAAATAATTGTCCCCAGACACTAGAAAATATTCGTGTTTCTGCGTTCCTGCGATAGGCTTGCATGCGTCGCCTACGCATGAAGCAATAGACACCAAAGTGGAAACAGCGGCGGAGTCATTCCACGAATGCGCGAAGCCGCCGCGACAGCGGCCAGGTAGCAGCAACACGTCGCGTTTTCACGATCGCTGTTCCTGCATTTCTTTTGCTAAAGTTTCAGAATGGTGGCAGGAACGCGTCTCCGACTGGTGTGTTTAATCGGGAATGGCTCCAAAGTGGCAACAAATGACGTCACAGGAGCCGGCGAGTCACACTGTCGGATGTCGCGATCCTGGCGGTTGGTCGCGGAAGGACCGGCAAAACGCATGAGCGAACGCGAGCGTCACTGTCGTCGCAGTGTTCCGACTAAATTCTCTTGATGCTTTTTTTTTACAAGTAACGACAACTAATACGAATGACAAAGCACATTCCGTGGGAACAAAATGGCGTCATCAGGCGGAAATTGAGGGACCAGAAATTGAGAACGCCGTAAACACAGAAGTCGGAGATGCAAGTTCCAAGCACCATAATGGGGCTTCGAAAGGCACTTGGTTACTGGAACATAGTCATGGGAAGTCAGACGGAGCATGCGTAAGTCTGTCTCTCTCTCCCCGCATATAGGAAAAATTAACAAAAGTTGATTGAACTTTACTTGAGACCAATCAAACAGCGTCAAAATTGTCATGTTTCTGTACGTCTTCTAACATCGCTATGAACCACTCATGCACAGGGAAGGCCCAATGACTTGCGCTTTTAGTGTGTGTGTGTTCGTGGTCGCATGTGCTCGTGCATTCGACTCCCCTGGAACATATGGTGAAATGAGGCATGGGCCAGTCGCTTCGAGAATATCGCGACAGTTTCTACCTTTTTTTTTTATTTTTCTAGGCCAGAGCATGCGTGATAGTGGCATATATATATATATATATATATATATATATATATATATATATACAAAAAAAAAATACCTACACAAAGAAGCGTTCGGAATGAAAGTCTCAATCGCAACTTCAGTCCGGTAAAAAGTAAGTAAAAACTGCCAGTCATAGAACACTTGGTTCATCGTTTCTACGTAAAGTCCCTTGATACTTATTGTATTTTAGGAAGCTATTATCTAGAAACTTTATTTCTACTGCCAGGGTGGAGTCGGCGTAGAATGCAATATAGGCTATCAGAGATGACGCGTATTTCTTCTTGTGATCCTTTTATCTTTCTACAAACGTAAGACACGAAGACGCCTTCATGTCATTCCCAGAGTACTGAGCGGACGCTGGGCGTCCCTCAGCACTCCGTTCTGGCAAATTCGTTGGCCGGAGCAGCATATTCCCCAGCACTGCGCACGGCGTCCCACTGTCGCGTGCACAACGCCTGCACAGCAGTCGCCAGAAATGCTGCCGTCAAGAAAGCGCAAGCGGTCAACGAATCAAGACCTGCGGATGCCCAAGAGCATCTCAAGCGTCAAGCAGTACTTCATGGAAAGATTTCTGGACGTGAATGCTCCCTGCACAGCTGACCACCGTTCGCCGCAGAAGCGCTGCTGGATCACCAACCACCTCAGCCTGTGGAACAGCCTGCTACACCCTGTCGGCATTCGGCTTCGCGAAGATATTCTGGGCAAGCTGACGCTTGAAACGCTCGCCTGGTGCAACCCGAGTACGACGGAGTATCGTGTCGTCTCCGCTTTCCTGGTGAAGCGGCTGCTGGACAATCACTGCTGTATTCAGCACGTCGACCTCAGCTACGCTGGCGAACTATTCAGCGATCACAGACAACAGCTGAGTCGGCTCCGCCTCAACGCTGGCCTCCAGCAAATCACACTCGACGGATGTCAGGTGAGCCAGCCCGAACTTTGTCAGCTCGTTCGCGTAATCCTCCAAGGAGACCCTGTTCGATTAAAACTCTGCCACGTCCGTTTCGGTGCCACCGGAATGACATCGTTGGTTCAAAGCGTCGCCACCTGGACAAGACTGGCAGACCTCGACCTTTCTGAGAATGGGCTGAGGGGCTGCGACAGCCTAAAGCTGCTCGAGGCCGTCGACACTTGCAAGTCCATCAAGTATCTCAAGCTCGATTCCAACATGGTCGGCGTGCGAGGAGCGCAGCGCTTGGCCAAGTTGCTGACAGCCAACAAAACGCTGCTGAGGCTGAGTCTCTTCAAGACGAAGATACAGGACAAAGGGGCGGTTGCCATCGGTCATGCGCTTGCGGCAAACAACACACTTGAGTCCTTGATGATCGGGGAAAACTCCATTGGTTCCACGGGAGCCAGAGCCATCGCCTCATCCCTCAAGGTGAACACTTCCTTGATCTGCCTCGACCTCCGGTACAACGATCTGGCCAATGGTGGTGCCATTTTCATCGCACAGATGCTCCCATCGAATAAAACGTTGCGAGAACTCCACCTGTGCGGAAATGAAATCGGCGAAGCTGGTATCGTCGCTGTCGCCGACTCCCTCGCGAACAACAGTACGCTCCTCGAACTCTGCCTTGACGGGAACCTATTTGATGAAGAGGGGGTGGCGGCGCTTGCGCGCCTCATTTCCTGCAACAAGACGTTAAGGCGCCTGAGTGCCAGGACGCTTCAGGGCTTCGGGTCGGCGGAAGAATCCCACGTATTCATCGAAGCCTTGGCGCTCAACCAATCTCTGGAAGGCATCACTTTTTCGGTTCGGCTTTCCTGCGCGACGGAGATGCTCTCGCAAAAGCTGCGATGTCACGAAACCCTTCAAGATCTCTGCATCCACACCTATTTAATTGACATCACTCTTCTGTTCGATGCCCTGGCGGCCAATCGCTCGTTGCGGACGCTCGAAGTATGGAACTATTCCCTGGACATCGATGTCAGCGAGGCTTTCGAAAACCTTCTGCGCACCACGAAAACTATTCGCGCGGTGTCTGTCTCGAACAGAGTTTCCAACGCGTTTTTGATGCGGGCTGTGATCGGGCTGGCGCAGAACGCGAGCATCTGGAGGTTCCACGTTGTTTCTGGGAAACTCGGCGTCAAGGCCTGCGAAATGATTGCCATATTGCTCATGAAGAACAGGACGCTAAGCGCCTTTATAATGGACGATGCTCCCATTGATAAAGCCGGTCTGAAGGCCGTGGCAAGTGGGCTGTCCTCCAACCGATTTCTTCAGCAGTTGTCCGTCACCTATGCTGCACCAAGTGCCGCTGGCTTCAGCGTCAGCGAATGTCTGCGGAGGAACGGCGCCCTCCTGAATCACGCGCTCCAGTTCGCCCTCAAACGCGCGACGGACAAGAGCTCCGCGGCTGCCTTCCAGCTGTACCAACGGAGCGAGTTCTTCGCGTACGAACTTTCTCGTGTTCCGGAGGTGATGTGCTTGTCGTCGGCTGAGTTGCTCATTCAAGAGGCGAAGAACTATATCCTCCGCAACTACTTCATTGTCACCGGTGTAGTGAAGCGCAACTTGATTTGCAGGACGTTTCGTCGGGGAACTGTTGTTACCACGCAGTTTGATAAGCTGAACGCGTATTGCTTGTACGCGATCGCCAGTTATTTGCAGGTGGCTGATGTGAAACGCTGATGAAAAAAAAAAAAAAA